TCACAAGATATCACTTGTATACGATAGTTAATTTTTTTAAAAAAATTAACTATCGTATACAAGTGATATCTTGTGAACTAGTGATTATAATTAGCTGAAATTTTTATATGTTATAGTTGAATATCATTACTATCTACAGTAGAAATTTCACCCAAATTCAATTAATAGTTATTGAGAAAATCTAAGCCAAAGTTTGATAAAATTTAACGAATTTTATAATAATCGTTAATAATCGATATTGTTATATAACTATAATTGATATATATTGTAATAAATTAATATTAATTTATTTTTTTATTATTTTAGTTTTAGATGGATGGACAAGTAATCATGGTTATTCTTATTTTGCTTTTATAATTGTAACTGCTAGTAAAAAGCAATATGTATATTCAATTAAAGATTTTTCCAATGAATCTCATACAGCAATTTTTACAGCTGATGAAATTGAAAAAGTTTTATTAGATATTGGTGTTGATAAATTTGGAGCTGTAGTTTCTGATGCTGCTTCTGCTATGACACTTGCTAAGCAATATATTTCAGAAAAATATCCAGGTATTTTACCTATTCGATGTATTGCACATCATATTCAGTTAATTTGCAATGATATTATTTGTAAAACTTCATTTGGAAAAACTGTGTTGCAACAATGTCAATCTTTTGTGACTTACTTCCATGCATCTCATCGATCTGGAGCAATTTTATGTAATGAAATATCTCGTTTTATGATAAATAAAGGTGGATTAAAAAGTTCTGTTTGTTCACGTTGATCATCTGCATATGATTGTATACAATCAGTACTTAATGTTGAAATTTGTATTAAGCAGGTAATTAATAATTTAATATTGATAATTTATATTATAATTTAAAAATTACTATTAAAATTTATAATTAATTAGATTTTAGAGAATGATAATTTTGCATTAACATCTGAATTAAGAAATCTTGCAAAAAATCGACAATTTTGGACAAATGCAGAAGTTTTAGCAAAAATATTATTACCTGGTAAGAATGCTATTAAAATGGTTGAATCTAAATCTACAACTACTGCTAATGTTTTTTTATTTCTTATTCAAATGGCAAATGCAATTAATATATTTGAACCAAATAGTTTATTACAGCATATAGAATTTCGTAAACAATGTATTCAATTTTATAACAAGCGATGGAAAGAATTTGATATAAAAACTTATCTTTTGGCATATTTTCTTCATCCAAAATATCGAGGAAAGGGTATGAAAACTTTAATATTTCATGAAATTTTATGTACTGCTCTTGAAATATGGAAAAAAATTGGTAGCAAAAGTGTAACAAGTGCAAATATATTAATAGCACAAATTAAAAAATATAATGCATATGAAGCACCATATAAATTTACTTTTATGGAAGAAATTGAGTCACCACAAACTTGGTGGCTAGGATGTAAACTAGAAAATCATCATTTGCAAAAACTTGCTTTACATTTATTAGCAATTACACCTTATAGTGCAAATTGTGAACGGATATTTTCTGTTTTAAGTTGGATTACTCAAAAACGAAGAAGCAGGTAATTAAATTAATTAATATATATCTATTAAATACTATACTTTTATAGAATAATGTGTACATCCACAAATTTTTAAAACCATAATCT